AAAATTTAAATATTAATTTGATTTTTTTTTATAAAAAATATTATTTATTAGTTAATTTATATTTTTTAAAAAAATTGGTAGCAACTATATAATAAAATTAACAAAAGATAAAATTCTTTCCACTGATTCTTTTGCCAACCCAAAAAACAATTCCAATTATAGAAATAATTAATAAATAGCTAATTATTATAACATATTTCTCAATTTTTCATGTTTATAACTTAAAATAATTATATAATATAATATTATCTTATTTAATTAGACAAATAAAAATATTTAACAAAGTTTTTAATTATCTTAAAACCAGTAATTAAAACCTTTTTTTGAATTCTAAGTAAAGTTGTTTAGTAGTTAAAAATACTATAGATATATTATTAGTAAATTAAAATATTTAATTTATATTTAATATAGAATTTCTTATTTTAGAAAAATTAAACTTTTAGGTTTAACAATATAGTTTTGAAAAAAAAAATTATTTTTAAAATTTAAAAATTAGCTTTAGAATATCTTTTTGTTTTAGTTTATTTATATTTTATTAAATAAATACTATTTTTACTTTGAAATATAAATTTATTTCAAATATAAATAAATATAAATTTGATTAATATAGTTTTGAATTTCTTAAAAAATTAATAAAAAATAGAAAAAAAGCAAGTATAAAGATATTTTTGAAATATATTTAAATTTGATATTGAACAAGTAAGTATTTTACAATTTAATTAGAAAGGTAAAAAAACCAAAGTTATAAATATTGATAAAAGTAATTGTAAAATAACTATGATTTTATTTTTAAAAAATTTGAAAGAAAAAATGATCAGATAGTAAAATAAAATTTGTAAAATAATATAAATTTTTATTCTTTATTTACAAAAACAAAAAATAAGATTAAAAAATTATAATTTTTAACTAATCTTCAAAACAATTAAAAAAAATTATTAAAAAAAAAACTAATTAATTTTATAAAATAAATCTAATATTAAATATATAAAAACTAAAACTTGTACTTTAGTTTTATTAATATTAAATATTATCAATATTAACTTATTATACTTTTTTGATTTTAAAAATTAAGAATTTTCAATATTTTTTCAAGATAAAATTCTAAATATTAAAAAACCAATATTTAACAATTATTTTAATTATATTATAAAATTCTATATTATAAAGTATTTAATTTACATTTGATAATTTGCAAGCTTAAAATATATTATCAAATAATTGTCAAATACAGTACATGTAGGCATAATTATAATTCTTAATAATATATTATCTAAGTCATATATTATTAATTAATTAACTATATGTAAAACAATAATATTAGAAGTATAATATTATAAAGTATATACTGTATATTTGTTTTTTTTATTTGTTTTTATTTTTTATATTAATTAAATATACTTTTAAAAAATAAGTCTAAATGAATATATACAGTATATGTATTAATTTTATATTATATAAAGTTAATATATAAAAAAATATACTTTTAATCTTAATAAAGTTTTAATTTTTCTTAGAATTTAAAATATAAATATTAAAGTTTACTGTCTTTTAAAGTTATTAATAATTTCTTTAAGACTTTTATAAAATAAGATTTAAAAAGACTAAAAATTAATCAAATTGATTATTCAAATGAATTTGCATTAGATTTAGTTAAAGAAAATTAGATATATATAATTTAAAAACTTTATTTGATTATTTAACTTTTGCTAATATAAAAATGTTTTTTTGCATCCTTTTGAAATTATAATTTTATGTATTACAGATGCTGTAGTAATTGGCTATGTAAAAAAACAAAAGACAACCAGATATTCCTAAAATATATAAGTGATTCAATAAATTTCTAAAAAAAATATGATTTAATTCTCTGTTGTATATGCAAAATAGGTGCAGTTTATGGTGTGATAATAGACTAAGAATATGGCCCAAGCCTATACAATTGCTGGAAATTCCTATGTCATTCATCCAACAACCATTCTTGTCCAGTACAAAATTATGTTGTAATAATCAAAGAAAAAAATCAATCATCAGATCAAGCAAGACCATTTTGTCTTTATGATTAGGATTGGTCACACTTCTTTACTTACGATACATACCCACCAAGCTCTTATTAGAATCAGATTCTTCGTCGGATTCAGATTCCATCCAAAACTCATCATTATCCTTACCTGAGGAATCAGATGTGGTAATATATGCTTTAGCACTAGCTTTGATATGATCAAGAAAAAATTTTGCTGTTGTCTCTTTCTACTCAAATTGCATACAAAAAAAACAAAATAAAACTTGCCATTTTTTAACCAGCTCCGCTTATAAATCGAGCAGAATAGAAAAAACCATAAATAAAATCAATTTTACAAACAAAAAAATATCATCAATAAATTTTTCCACCATATTGACTTCTCATACCAAAATTTATCAACATAACATCCTGGAAAATATGCATTTTATGATTATTCCTGCCTTGTTTTTCTTCCTTGCAATTATATTCCCCGAAAATGAACCTCAATATATGGGACTCATTATCACATGTCTCTTTTTCATTATGTCACGAAAAGATTAATAATGAATTCTTCGAGTGCGATGCAAAAATCGGCGAAATCAGAGACGAAATTGATGATCACATAGCAAAAGCGATGCTAATTATGCAATGGAAGCGCAGAATGTCATCTCCATGATTAATATGTCTGGGAAATATAACGAATTCAAACAGGTTCTAAAAACCTACCATAACAATTTAATTGCAACTGATTTCGAATCAATCAGTAGAATTATTACAACGCTTCAGAGCGAAATCAATCAATGACACAGAATACTAATAGGAGAATCTGACAGTAAAGCGAGGCTTCATCATCTTCTGCTCATTCATCATATTCCTTAGATTCAAGCCAATGATCTCGAATATCATTTCTGTAATCTGGGAACATTTTTCGAATGTCTTTCTTAGAGTTAAGGGTGCGAATGATTATACTTTAGATCAGATGTGATATGTTGTATCGGCTGATATTTTAAAGCTTGGGATGAGTATAAGAAGCGAAAACTTAGAAAAGATAGGTGCTCGGATAGATAACAGTTATTTACACCACTACTGAATAGCAGGGAAGGGACTGCCATTATATTGTTCAGGCTTAACAAGCAGGCGTGTTTTTTACACCTTTCCTCCCTTGAAATATTCTGCTTCTCAATTATTTATGTTGTTTAATTAGCCGGTCTCAATTAATTTTATAAAAAATAAGAAAGATATGATTTTGATTTTACATTGTTAGTCCTATTTAATAAATACCTGAATACTGTATCACATTTAGATGATCCCATTCGTTAAAAAAATTTTTTTTTACCTTTTTACACCGCGGTTGAGCCAATAACATTTTGCAAAAAATACTATATAAGTCGCCATGTCTATCACTCTCGTATGCCTCGTTAAAGGAAATACATCCACTAACGCTTTTCCTGTCCATATTGGTGGAAATGAACTTGTTGGAGATCTTAAGGACGCAATCAAGGCGAAAAAGCAAAATGACTTTGTTGGTGTAGACGTAGACAAGCTCAAGCTATGGAAGGTAGAAATTCCTGATGATCGCTAAGCAATCTTAAACTTCAGGACGAACTTCTTGCAACTCGAGACATAGAGATTACTGGACTGCACCACCAAAGCGACATATTCACGTCATAGTCGAGCCTCCCATTTCGAATCGCGAACAGGAGTTACTTAAACGGATTGCCTCATTACAGGCATTGCGTAACAAGTCTGTCTACGGTAAGTATATTCACGTAATGACTGCTTTCAGAAAAATAATGAGAAGAGTAGAATTTTGTGGGATTTTTACTAAAACAACCATTACATTGTAGTGTTTGACGTTGTTGTTAGCCCGAAACGAATAAAAGGATTCAAGTGGACAGCGAGTATCAAACATGCAACCCTCGAAAGCCTCAAAGAATTCATATATACGATGTACCAAACGCCGGTACTTGAAAATGATGAAGCGGTGTTCAACGTAGTAAGTGGTATTGGAAAATGCTCACCTCGAAATGATAAGGACCTTTGTGAAATGCTCCAGCTACTCGTGACAAAAAGCAGTTTCAAGTTTACTGTGTCCATAGAGACCCCCTCAAAAGCTTTCTCAGATTGGACTCTTGGCTCGATTTGCCAGCTTTATGGTCTTGGTGAAATGGTGGATCCAACATTGACTATGTTCCCTGTTTTTTCGTGTAGTAGTGTTGAACCATCGCATGAATCGTTTGAAAATCTCATTATCGAATTAAATTCCCGCCTCGACACAACCCCAATCAATTTGCTATCGAAAGAGGCTGCAAAATCTATATACGTCTACTCTTATCTGCTTGCTGGAGCGAATAACTTCAAAGGAATGTTCGAGATCCGTCCTCAAAAAAATATTTCTGGTCCGAATGGACATGGTCCTGTTGATTTTGTAGTTGATCTACGCCGAACAGCAAAAATGGTGGGGTCACAGAAGTTAAGAAAGAAGATTTTACCAAAGGTGTCGCTCAATGTGCAGTCCAGCTCGAGTCATATTTGTCAAATCGTAAGCGTAAAGCTAGTGAAGTAGAGGAGGAACCAACGGTTGATAAAGTTTTTGGGATAGTCACTGATGCCGAAAAATTCTACTTTATGGAATGCTCGCTGGATGAACATGATAGACCGAAGTTCAAGCTATCGAAACCAGTAATTAATGTGTATGATGATGCTGATATGAAAGCCAAAGTAAAGAAAGTACTTTCTCATATCGTCTGGTTGCTAGAGGAGTTGCAGAAACCGGTGGAAGCTTCACAAGGTGGAGAGCAATCGAGGGTTTTGTAATATTTGAGAAAGAAACTCAGATCAAATTATTGTGACTCAGCCTTAGAAACCTTAGTAGTAGAGAAGAGTTTGGATAGCCCCTCACACTAGTCACACGAAAATTATAATTTTACCAACTTTATTGTAGTCATAAAATAATCACAAGAATATCATAAGGTAACAAGAAAAACCAATTCTCTAATTGTAATCACAGGAATCGAGGCAAAATGCGAGAAATCATGTGAAGTCCTTTTCGGAAATAAAAATTATTTGATTTCTTTGTTTTTGAATTCACTCGTTCTCTGCTAATTTGACTCACGTAGCACATTTGCCCAAGAGAAACTGTATGGATGGTTTTGACTTTATTATTACTGATAGATCTGTATGCTCTTCCAGCAAATGGTCCAAAATAGTTCGTAAAAGCTTTTCCATCTACGATTCCAGACCTTTTCGGAATTGGAATATTACAATTTGCTATTGTAAAGAGGATGAAAAAATCATTTTCTGATGCTGATTTTTCACGCTCTTTTTGGTACTCCTTTTCACTGACTGCCTTTTTCCGCAATTTAAATTGGTGAATTTCATTCGGACTCTCGGTACCTGACTTATCTAATGAAAGGAAGGAATCTCCATAAGGTGAAGCTGGGGCACTAATTATACAATGTTTGAATTGCCGGACATCAACAGTAGAATGATAGCAATCAACTTTCCATTCGCTTGTAGTGAGATTTTTGGATCTTGTGTCTATATGATGCTTTGCAACTTCAAGTTGTAGACTGTGGTTTTTAAATTGGATATCATCATTCAAACGTGCTCCCGCGTGAATGTCTGATATTTTTATTAGCTCACCTTCTTCAATCACAGCAGACTTTATACAACGAAATAATGCGACAAATTCTGATATTCACTATTACTGGTGCAATAAAGACCATTCGTCGAAAAAAAAGTTTTAACTGGGGCATTCCTGCCAAAAAATTCACGTACAGTATATACCTGTATAAACAATCCCATAGAGATCATCATCCCGGAAAGCTTCATCTACTGCACGTTTCTTCATATTGTATGGTATTCATTTTCTAGTTTCATTGTATTCTAAAGGTAACAAATTTTGATGTTACAAATTAATACTCGATAAATTAATAATCTGATGATTATTTCTTAAATTTTCAAAGTTATTATATAATTTGTCTCTACTGTATATTTTAATAATTTCCTTAATTTTATAAAACTTTGAAAAAAAAAGTATTATTATCTTAAAATTATTAATTTATAAAGGTTTAACTGTATACATAAAATATTTGTTTCCTTTTATTATATAGTCAACATGTTTTACTGGAAACTATTTTTCAATATGATATGTATAGCCAGATGAATGTAGTATTTATATAATTAATATTATATATGTTTCATTATTACTATAAAAAAATTTTGAGATTGTGAATTAAATATAATTCTCAATTATTTATTATATGTTGCTTAGTGATTCTGACATAATATGGTTTTTAAAAAATATTTGAATTCAACTTCACCATATACAGTATATAATTAATATATATAATGTGACTTCACTGGCATTAGTTTTTATTGTTTTCAAATTTGTTTCAATATAATTTTATATATAAATTTTCAAATGGTTTTTTAATTTCTAATTAGATCACAAGGCTTTATATTTGTTAATCCAATTATAAATAACTATAATACAATATACAATGTAATATTATATTAAAACTAAACTATTCTACTTTACAAATATATATTGTTACACTTGATTTTTACTCAAGATCTTTACTACCCTTGTTTGATTTTTACTAGCATTTATTCTTGAAATGTTATTTGTTTTAGAATAGCTTTGTATTACAGATTTGTTGCTACATTTTCAGTATCTATTGCACTTATAGTATTTTTACCATTTCTAAAATATTTCTATTTTATTTTATCTTTACTTTTTATATTATTTTTACCAAAGTATTTATCTATGTAAATGTTAACACATTTGAATATTCTAATGAAAATAGTATATATACTTTAGTTTATATTTTTATCATATCATATATTTATTATATACAAAAATATTATAACTCAAACATGTATATAAAGTTTCCAATTTTGTCTAAAAATTGATATTCTTGAACTTTTATTTTATTAAATTAATATTTTGATCTTTATTGAAACAAATCACTATTGCCTCTTTTGATTGACCTTATAAACATCAGAACTATATTAATTTTGATATATTTTTAGAAACTTTAGCATATCACATTAATTCTTTTAAACAAAATATCTCTTTGCTACTATTCTTTTCATTATTTTTCTTTTGAAATAAAAACAATATATAACAATATTAAATGTTATTTATAAAATTGTATATAATTCTTAAATTCGAATATCAAAATCACAATATTACTTATATAATGAAAAACAAAAAAATATATATTTGTTTCTATAATTTTGAATATATAATATAGGACAAAAATAATTTACACTGATATTTTTTATTATAATTTAATAAATAATAATTTAATTAAGATAAAACTTTAAATATATATTGTAGAGATTATAATAGTGAGTCTGTCATTATGTTACAATTTCTAATTGTATAATATTGAATAGAGGTATAAAAATATGGTACAAAATAAGTGAAAGTGTTATATAATGATTTAAATTGTAATTTTTAAAGAACAATTTATTGTTACTTGTTTCTTTAGTATATTTTTTTCTTTTATATATGTTAGAAAAATTCCAAAAATCATCAAAATCTTAAAAATTCTTCAAGTTCCAATTAAATCCTAATTGGGTGAGAATAACATATGTCAAATTTATTTAATTTTTCAATCTCTTTTACAATATACAGTCAAACCTTTTTATATTAATATACCTGGGCCAGGTCATTTGTATCATTATAATCAGTTTATCAGTATAAAAATTGACTTTTTACTATATATTATAATAAATAGAAAAACAAAATTATATTATTATAATAAAAAATTGTTATAAAAAATATTATTATAAATCTAATTAATAAATTTATTCAAAAATATTGATTTAAAGTCAAATTTTTTTTTAAAAAATGGATTATAAATTATATATATAAATTAATATATATAGTATAATTCATAATTTTTTAAAATTTTTTTGTTTTTATATTTTATCTTATAATTAAATAAAAAAATCATTAAAAATTTATAAAATTTTATTTAAATATATTTTAAAACCTAAGAATAAAATAGTATAAAATTAATTAAAAAATATTTATTTTTTAAGATTTTAAATAATACATAAAAATTTAGAAAAAAGTTTTTTTGAACTGTTATAAACAATTATATTTTTTAAAAATTTTATTAAGATACTTTATAAGGAAAGCTTAAACAAAAAGTTTTTAAAAGACCTAAAGAAAATAAATTTTAAATTTTGTATAAAAAAAATATGAATTTTTTTTACATTTTAAAAATATTTTTTATATTAGATTTTTATATTAAAAAAAACAATAAATTTTATATTCAAAAAATACTTTGAAAAAATTTTATTAGATATTTTATAATATAAGCTTAAACAAACTTGTTTTTTAGATTATAAACAAATAGGACATAAACTTTTATCTAAATCAAATAAATTTTTATTATATAATAAACTAAAACAGTTTTTAAAATATTATGTTTTTTTTTTTTTTCATAAAAAACTCTTTCCCGTACACAACATTTTTCTTAAAAATTTCCTTTTATAGTAATTTTTCTCCAAAATTAGAGAAACAAATATTTTTTTCGTCTTTCAATACCCAAAAGTCCTTCACACTTCCTCTTCTTTCATTACAAGAGCCCCAAGGAAATTAAAGGAGTATACTG